GCAACAGTGCTGAACACCACACTACAGCTCTAAATACTTAATAATTTGCTTATCAGTTTGCTTATTACAAGCTTATTACATTTGAGAAGTGTTGTTGACTATTGTCTGTTTGCATATTCTGCATGATCCATCCATACTCCATAACCGCTCGCCAGAGGTTCATAGCAGGCCCATTGCAGACAGCAGGGGGCACTGGGTAATCCATCACAGGGCAGTATACTGTATATTATCATTACTAAAGATGATGCCATGATTCAGTCATCCTAATGCCACGGACTATATATTTTTCATCATCGTTTGTCATTTCATTGTACAGCTTTCCCCCCCGTGACTTTTATTTGAAGAAGCTTTTCTATGTTTCACTTCTTTCATGGTACCCAGAAAACACACGCTTTCGATCTCGTTCCAGTACTTGATGTTATATAACATCTGTGATTCTTTAATGATGCCATTTTGGGTTTATGCTGATAATTGCTTTCGGAAAATAGCAAATAGTAGCAATTTTGCTGTCATTTTAATGGGACGCCACTGCCGGAGAGGCGGGGATGGTGAGCTGGTCGGGGTTCTGGGGGCCAAGGTGCCTTTCCATAGACGGAGGAGCCGGGTTGTGGATCGAAGATCAGCACTGCAGCCCCACACTCCGTCTTCTTCAAGTGCATGGCTGTGTCTACAGGATGAAACACACCCATTTCAGTTCTATTTTCACACAAAACACTAACATTACTTTTAAATGTAGAATATTCTAGAAATTAGTTTTCTTTGCAAATCAGTTCGCTATTCAGTAAGTGAAGTGAATGGAAGGAATGTGGCCTGTTTTGTCTCCCAGGAATCAGTCGTGTTCCTCTCGTGCCGGACGAAGGGGACCCCGGATTTCTCTGGCGGCGTTTGAGTGTGTGACTGCTGGCAGGTGACAGACGTTGACCTTGGGAGCACTTTTTCCAGGGCCATTGATTTGTTTGCCCAGGCCTGGCTGACAGGTTCTCATTAGGTTTCTTTTACACACACTTCCAGGACGAGAGATGGGACTGCATACGTGGCAGCAGGATGTCTGATCAATGCCCCTGATGGATCTGGGTGGCAGCATAATTCCCCTGAATATCTATTTAGCGTGTGTGCGTGTTCACCTCATTGACAGAGTGCTCCAGCAACCCCCCCCCCCCCCCAATTAATCACCTTCACTGCGCCTCGCTGGAAGAGAAGCTTCATTGTCAGGAGGGAAAAGGAGCAATTTTACAAACTCAAAATAATCATGGTGGCGATATTCTTCGACCAGTTCATATAATAATCTGGAAGGCACAGTGTGTTTGTGTTCACTGGAGTGATTATGTACCTTTAAGGCTCACTGTAATTTATCAGCCTGCAGTGTAGCCCTAGTTTTCGGGGCATTAAGAGTTGGAGAGGTTTGGGGTAGTATTGCAGGATATCTGCAAATCCTACCAGTGTGCCCATTTTGTTTCTAAGAGCAGTTGCTAAATGTGTTTTTAATCTGCGGTAAGATTTGCAGTAGATTGCACAATGTTTTTAATGTATTTTTATATGTGAAAAGACAACAGGCGTTGTGAAAACTCACAACTTTACATTTGTGAATTCCTGCCTATATTTCACAGTCGTCTTCTACAAAGCAACTGGATTGTCACGAAAAGAAAACTACGTAAGCATTATACAAGCTAAACTTATTAGATGTTATCATTAATTATCTATACATTTATTATAATATATCTTATATAATATTTGCGCCTTAAATAAAAACAACAGCGAAAAAGTACAGATCACGGATAGTTTGAAATGATAGGCAGGAAAATTGCTGATATTATTCTAGTCTATGTCGTTCATGTAAACGCTAGGAGGCAGTATTGTTACTTCAAACATGGTAATCAGTGCCACACAATACCGCAGGCTTTAGTGTTTTGCACCTGAAAGCCCCACCCTCTAATTTAAATACAGGAGGAATCTGACTTTAGATCAATACTCAAAACTTTAGCACTGAACTCCTACATTTCTGACAGGGAGAATATGAGCATTAGATTGCTGCTGTAATTGGAAACATGATAAATAAGCTAAAAACGCGATCTTCTTGCCAGACCCATCCTGCAGTAATGACTCCTGAGGATACCTCTGGGTAGATAGTTATTTTATTTGTTGGTGGCTGCATTTCACTGTCTGCTGTTGTATGGTTTATTGCCTGATGGGAACAAAGCGTATAAAAGTCTCCGGTTATAAAAATAGTTCTACAAACTATAATGTTGTTAGGTATCTGGTAATTGCGCAAACTTAAACACAAAGTGTGTAATTTTTGCTTTTCTCTGCATACATTTTTTAAATGGCTTGAAATTATTTAATCAAATACTAACGACTTGCATAAACTACCGGTACCTGAAATTAACAGTTGTATTTGGTTAGTTTTTTCTTTTCGCAATCATCATAAATATCATGGGCTGTTTACAAGGAATTCCCTTTAAGGCTGATCTGCTATCATAATATGACGCATAGGAATCTTTTAGTAGGATAAAAATGAGTGCAATCGATATTATATTTATAGGACAGGTGTTACTTTTGAGACCCCTGTGCAGAACAGGTGATGGTAGTCTGATAACGAGGCAATGTCAATGTGTCAACTTACTTGTTCTGACATCCCCAGACTGTGCCTTTTAAATTTTTCATCATAGCACATAACTAAGGCTGTTCCTATGTCAAAGATGATGCCCGGTCTAAGTGAATGACTATAAGTCTATTGGAAACATTAACATCTTTAATTCCATGGTTTGCAGCTGTGCGATTATGCACTGTTACAGTGTTGTTATTTAAAATTTTACTTTAAGTCAATTCATATAGAACAAGGATGTGCTCTAAGAAGACTGTGAACAGTAGCAGATGGCCGGCAAATATATAAATAATTCCTTCTTTGAAAAGGAGATTACTGCATTTGAGCCTGTTTTTATCACTACATGATTCAGATTAAACTGTAAGCTGTTTCATAACAGGTTATTTTTTTCCTTACAGCAAAACATTAGTAAACAGGTGTCGAGACAATTACTTGACAAGGGTCCTGATGTTGGAAATATGTATGTGTGGTTGGAACGAGCAAGCAAAGCAGAACCTGCCAATGGAATGGGGCGCTTTCCTCAGAGATACCAGCATCAAGGGTTATTTTTACACAAGATGTGATCTTCCTTTCATTTTTGTGACTTGTAACTAAATAACACCTGAACATTTCAGCTTCTACTGTATACAAATGTAAAACATATATCGGGTGGTTTTAAGTTATAGGCTTATTCGTATTCTGCAAGAAAGGTACATTATTATAAATTCTGAACAGGATAGCATTACGCATCTTATCTGATGCTCATTTGTGCACCTTGTGTTGATTACCGCCCGTGGTTATTTTGGAGAAGAAAGGATAAAAGCTGACGAACAGTGGCTCCTCTAACTTTGTTGAAGAATATGCATCAAGCAGATAACTATATATAACAGGTTTCGAATTCTACCCTCTGGTCACTCATCATTGTTCTTGAAATGAAAATACTTTGCGCAACCTCTGGTTCTCTGAATTACATAACCACTGCCTACCAGCCGGCAATCGCCCACCCAGGCTCGGTGAAAACCTTATTTTGTTTCCTGTGTCTCCCACAAAATAATGATTTTTTTTTTTGCTTGAGCTCTGATACGTTTTTTCCCCTTCAGTCCACCCCTCCACATATTCACGTCCTGAGAATAACTTATTTATGTTCTCTTAGGATTTAAGCGTATGTTACGGCAAAAAGTGGAAAATTCTTAAACAGATGTAATCGTTTTGTGTCTTGATATGCATTGCACTGACCAAATGGACAGATGTGTCTATAATCTATAGAATATTCATATAGCAGTATAGACAGAGAATTCAATTCAATTCAGAGAATTCAGTCTGACGAACTTTCTCTCTCTACAATGAACACAATAATGACTTTTCTAAGTAGTCAAAGCCAGCATTTATCATCGTAGCATTAATATCAGTGCACTGATTAAAATTCAGATTTTAAATGGGCAGGTTTCTAATCCATCATAATCAATAATGTTCACGTTGCATTTATTTAGTCGACTGCGGACATAATTATAGCTATGTTCACCAAACTAATGAGGACACTGAGGTCAAAGTAGGTCTCAAGCAATAGGCAGATATTCAATTTCATCATAAAACCATATGCATCAGTCATGTCGGAAATGCTTTGGTTAAAACCTTCTTTCGTTTCTTTCTTTAGTATACAGTATACAAGTCAGGTAGGTTTGGGGTCACTTAAAGTAGTTTTACTCACATAATTCTATTTCTCAGCGTTTACTTCTCGCAAATGTAGCACATTTAAATATGCTTTGGCCAACATCATCATCAAAAAAAAAATCAAGTATCAATATATAGAAGTTAAACGTGTCTACTAGTAACGTTGTTGGTGCATTGCATATATATTTAGTTTACCGAGATCTTTAAAATGAGTTTTCATCAGTGTTAGCCTTGTATCAGACCTGTGTCCCCGCGTGACGCCAGACAATTTCCACATTAGAAACAAATAAGCATATAACTAGAGTGTTGTTCTAATCATTTTTATATATTCTTATATACTGACAAATTAAACTTTTACAGAAATGAACACGTCAGTGGGGTTTACATCTAACATTTTCAACTTACTAAAAGTTTCACGAACAGTTATGTTCCGGTGCAAATCATGTAAGCCTAAACAAAGCAAAGCGATGGTGGTTTCATCTATTGCACTGCGTACATTTCACACTGCTTTTAAAATGTGTGCATATTTAACGCCTTATATCTGTGCTCGGATATGAGCATCTCGTGCCAGCACCATGGACAACGCCAGATGCGCTCGAAGCCCGTCCACACTTTAGCCCCGCCTCACCGGATGATTGACGTTAAAATAATCGGGAAATCAATAGAGTGCCATTACAAATAGCAGCCAATGGCGTGGGGCAGGGGGTGGTTCTCCGTTGCTAGTGGTAACAAGAGGCGGAGCCACGAAGCCTGTTTACAGCGGAGAGGGATCTCCAGGTTGCCCCTGTTGTAAGTAAAGCGCCGCATGGTGAACACACCTCCGATGGGATAAAGGAATTTTTACTTTAACAAGGACAATCTTCACTCTCCGTGCAGCATAACAAGTACTTGTTATGCTGTGATCTTGGATCTCAATACCATTGTTGCTGTTATTTTTTATTACGAATATATATTGTTAATATTTTTGGTGGGGTAGCTGACGGGATTAGGCGGAATATATATATTTTTTGTTACTTCAGAATATTATTTTCACCCGTTCTCTTTTGTCTGGACCGAAAGCACAGGCGAAGATGGATAGCGAAAAGTACTTACCGGAGCTGATGGCAGAGAAGGATTCGCTCGATCCCTCTTTCCATCATTCCTTACGTCTGTTAGACCAAGGTAAATATATTTAACACACACATATTAATTTAATTATTTTGTTATTATATTGCCTTTCAGAACCGCGTGAGGAGTTCCACTAGTATGACGTTAGTATATGTCACTGCCAGTACGATTTATGTGATGTTGATATTGTAATTTATAGGCGAAAGATACTCATCAGGACAAACACACCAAGTTTGCTCGTTTAAATATAGGCAAAAATGTACGCGGATACTTGTTCAAAATATTTGCATATATAATGCTATCATTTTTTCATGCAGTATAAAAATACTGAATTTTCCCTCGTGCCATGTAAATTATACCGGTAACTGAGTCTCAAAACCTTTAGGTTAAGTGACAGAGATCGCAAACTGGTGGAAAGTGTCTCGTTACTGACATATACTGTACACCAATCCCACCTCTTTATTGAAAGTGCTTCGTACTATGCGGGATATAGATGTCATAATCCAGTAATTCGCAATAACTAATTAGAGATGCCAGATAAATGATTTGTATTATACATATAGATACATAGTACCTATACGCTATAGTAATCCACAGTAGTTTTCCTCGCATGCCATTGCGAAGACCTGCACAGGCAAAACAATAATGCCGAAATTCAAGCGACCTTTGGGAATCGTTATGCATTTACAAGGCAAAACATGGTCAATCCTTAGGGTGAATGAACTTTCTGCCCGGTGAAATTTCAGCGGTTTTAAATGCAGTTTGAAAAAAAAAAAAACATATGTAAGTACTGTCCATATTGATTGCGAAACTGCTTATTGATTTTTTTTTTTTTGAGTGTACTGCTACTTAGGGCAGGCGTTCCCTTGTAAGTGCTACAGAACTAAGAGTGCCGCATAATCGAAAGTCTCCGTCGTTTCCTTTGCGCCCTGAGCCGCCCGTAAAACCATCACGGCTTAAGTAACATTTCTGTCTGCACGACCGGGACTAAAAACTTAAACATTAGTAGCATTAGTAGTAAGCAGAAATATGACCAAAGGGGTAATTACTGTATTCTTGCAGTGTACAAGGAATAGCAGACTTATACACTTTCACTGTGCAAGTGAAGCGTTGCGAGTTATGATAGTTGGCTATATTAAAAGAGACGTTTAAATATTAAGAGAAGTGGATACCTTCACTTTTGACACCTATTAAACGTGCAGATCTATCTATCTATCTATCTATCTATCTATCTATCTATCTATCTATCTATCTATCTATCTATCTATCTATCGTTTGCCTATGTGTCAACATGCATGTACTCATTATTTTACGTCTATGTTGTTTGGTGCCTAACAAGTGGCTGGAATTGTTTCAGCTCTGCCATCTGACATCTCAAAGTGCTGTGTCTCTCCCACAGGGGGTTAAAATGAAGCAATTATGTAATAAGGAATTAAGGCTGCAAAATAAATAATAAAAGGCCCTGCAGAGCCAGAAGTGAGACTGGTGAGGAGGAAAGAGCAGCAGAAGGCAGATGATCATTTACATTTCCAGTGCAACATTCTGCTTGCATTTCTTTCATGGTCTTGGGCTCTAGCTCAGTGTGTTTAGTGGCTTAACCTGATGCTTAGTGACTCATATTCCATCAAATAAAACTCTTCGATAATATGAAGCCTTGCAACATTTTAAGACACAAAGTTTGATTGAGCAGGTCTCACGGTGTTCTTTGGCTAGATTTGCCATATTTCAGATCATTGCAATATAAAACATTCCATTTCACTTCATTTCTAGTCGTTAACATTTTACTAAGAATTTTGCTCTGTCATAGTACAACTGGGCATCCTTTCCAAGAAACTGACTTCACTTTTGTAACTTAGTCTTAAAGGGAACACGAGCAAATGATAATACTCAAAAAGCATGAAGTAGAAGGTGTAGGCAACAAAATCAACGTTGGCTACTGTCTTTCTTTAAAAAACAAAAAAACGATTGCAGATGCAATTTAAGTGATCACACGGGTACAGTAACTGGTACACTCCTCCATATTCCATTATTAAATTGCTTAAAGGCAAAATTTGTGCATGTAACAGACTGTTCAGTGCAGAATTCAATTCTCTTCTGCAAGCCAAAATTTCTACATAAATAAATGTCATCGAGGAAACACAAACTCTTAAATATCACGGTATAATATATTGGGGTTACATTTTCATTTAAACCAATTTCATGTTGAGCAGTATGTTTAAAATTAGATTTCTGGATACATTCTACTCATGCGATCACTTGCAGTGATATTTCAGTTTAATTCACAAGTTGTAGTCAGTGAAAGCCTCTTAGTTAAAAATGCTTGGCAGTGAAACTCGAATGCGCAAGATGACTTATGCCAGAAATCATATTTTTATCTGGAGTGCTGCAGAACATCGTAGATAGGCGTACTTGTGTTGTGAGTGGAATGAAAGATACAGGATGATATCCCACAGAGATTTTCTTAATGCTTTGACACATACATATTGCCAGTGGCATTAAAGTATTGAAAAAAAACAAACATGACTTGCAATATGTATGAATTTGGCCTAAATGCAGCCCAACTGTAAATGTCAACTGAGCTGTGTACTGTGGTGTTCTGAATGCTGAATATTGCACTCCGTTGCTTTGCAAGCAGTTTCATCACCTGCAATTCACCATTGTAGTACGCATATGATTTGGAGATGTGGTCATTCGGTAAACTGATCAGTGATGTGTCCTTTGAACATTTGGTAGCCTTCGGTGATCCGGCAAGGCACCAAGATTTTGGAGGATCTGGCAAATGTTGCGTGTCGTGCTCTGCTCTTCCAGGCGTTTGCTTGGGTGAAACGAGGGCCATGAAAAATACGGATTTGCCTACCCGTGAAGTTTAATGGCAGGTTACTTCCAGTGGTATTTATTAACATGGTACCATTGATTTTACTGTTACTGGCTGGTCTACAGTGGTTTTCATGCCAGCGGCAATGCATCAGGTGACATAACTCGATGTTCTCTGCCTAACACGGATGATACATTCATCCGCAGGAGTGAGTGCTCTATCAGGGAACAATAACTGTTTATGTTACAGTGTGTAAACAGTCGGGATACATAACACCTCTGTATGTTTTAATCATTTTTTTCCCCTTGATACATACACTCAACTGCAGGAATTTGTCGGCAATCGTCTCGTTACACAGTGGAAGCAAATGCATTTCACATAAAAGAGAAACATTGTATTTTTAAAATATGCATTTATAAAGATGTTTAAATGTCATATCTTTATATAAGTATAAATAGACTTGATAAAATCATGCATACATGAATAAGAATGTAGTATTTATGTGTAGCATGATGAAGAATATAATGGCTGAGAAATGTCAGGATAGTGTCGTATCACCCATGTGTCAGGCTGTAGTGGTTGCAGGCGAGCCAAACCAAAGCAAAGGACCAACTCTGGCTTGACATCTACCAGCCTGACAAAGAAGTGAACAGCCAGGAAATCCAACATACCTGCAAAATGTGCAATTCCTACACTGCAGCTTCCCCTAAAAATAGACGTCAGTCCAACACATGCGTCGTGGTATGCTGTGTGTGACAGGAGACTAGACACTGCTTTCGGGTCAGTCTCGCTGACTTCATACGTCTGCCTGGATGTCAAGACAAGATTCGGAGACGTTAACTGGGAGCAGCAAGCCGGTGATCAGAACCCCGAAGAGATTTCTGTGGGGAAGTGCTACAGAAATATGGGCATGGCAGCAGATACGCCAACAGGTCTTGAGCATCTGATTTCCCAAGGGCTTCGGGCAAAATAAACAACCTGTCCGGCTGCTTGCTGCTCCAAACTGTGCACTGCGAGCTACTTTAAAGCTGCCATTAATGATTATACTCAATAACAGGGCACCTATTATATGCTCATGTTTATTTGCCAGAAGGTAGACTAGCTGAAAACACTGGGGTATGTTTTTTCAGTTGGGGAAACATTTGTTGTTCCTTTATTACTCTTCAGGGGATTGGAACAGATTAGCTCTTCCGCTACCTAAGTTAAAGTATTTGGTGTAATTTACCTTGCTTTAATTATTCACCGTCCGGCTCTGCCGAAGCCTATGCGATCAGCGCGCCTTTATGGGAAGGCACTAGGTTGTTGTTGTTAGACAGGAACCAGCTTTTAATGATGAGCTTGGCTGTACAAGGCCTGAGTGGTTACTTAGATGCCTCACAGTGGAGTTAATCTCCCAATAAAGGCATGCTTTGTGCCCTGTATCCTGTATAACCTGGGTATCCAGTGTCATTCAGATGGCTCATAATTCTGGACACTGAATAAGAAGCTGTGATGGTCAACTTAACTGCATTAGCTTGCTGTGAGCGGTAATACCTGATGAGTGCATACTGAAGCAGCTTTTTCTCATCAGAACAGAATAAGACTCTAACAGAATAGATGTGTTTGTGGCTTATCTTCTTGCCTAACACTGGAAGTGTACATGGTGCATATAATCTTCTTTATTACTTTTGTGTGCTTAATCCCAGCATGCAAGACCAACCTTGTAATATAGACCTAATAATAGCGACACAAGACTTCCATTTATTTCCGCTGGCTACACATCAATAAAGAAATTTCAACCGGGAGGAATTCTTTGGCTATGTCTGTGTCAATAAAGAAATGACTTCTCAACATAAAGGTTGGATATTCTTGTACCAGTGTGATTATAAGTTTAAGCATATTCAGTTGTTCTTGTTGCCGTTCTTCATCGTACATACTTAGGCTCTGCTACTGTCCTTTCTCACCGTATTGCCAGTTTACAGCATAACCTTATGCCGAATACCGAAATCGCAATTCAGTAAGTCGAGTAAGATGCGATAATTCAGATTTTCTTGAGCATGTAGACTCTTCTCTGAGATGTCATAATGGTTAAAAGTTACATATTTAAGTCCACAACACTCATTCCGTCGGTAAAAGACTATTATTAACATGGTGATGTCACAACATCATTGGGTAAGTATGATTCTCAGGTTGCCGGACCCAAACTAAAATCACACGAAAACATGAAGGGCGGTTACCAGCTACTGTGAATGATGAATAC